CGAAATACAATCACTAATGGACTATTAATGATAGATTTCAGATACAACTAAGGTTCAAAAGTGTACTGAAATTAATTAGAAGGCGCATGTGCATCGCTGTGTATGAGATATCTTAAACTACATTTCAGACAATTAATCTACATGTGGAATGTCTTTCTGTCACTTCCCCCATCTGAATAAAGGAAAACCTAAGATAAAGATGCTAATTACAATGTCTCTAATCATTTGATACCAACAGCATAGACTGATCAGGAATTCACCTGCTTAGGAAAAAAACAAAACTAACCAAGATTTAATTCTTTTTCTCCAAGTGATAAATATCCCATAATTAAAGCTGATCAAAGATTGTGAAAATAAGCATTATTGTTTAAACCAAGGCATTAATCCATTCCCACCAAACGACACAGATGTACTCAGCCAAGAGACTAACTAGAGATATACTAATTTCTCCTGCAGAAGCAACACCTAGATGTAAAAATGGCCTGGCCTATCCCAAAATGTCTCTTGCTGTGCCTTCAGCAATATTTTCTTTTGGCCCAGATTCCAATGTATAGCATCAAATACAGGCAGGTAGCATGTCTGAAAGGAGACTGAGTGTGTAGAAGCCTATACTGTGAGTACCAAAATATAAAGTATATTGAGAAGGGAATTCACATCTCAAAAATCTGAAATATATTGTATAAGAGAACCAGTGACAATTATGGATAAAGAACACTAAATAAACCTCATATTATGTACCCATTGTCAATATTGTTCTTCCTTGAGCACTAAATATATTGGTGACTCTTCCTGACTATGGGTAGATTCTGATATGATGTATAACTGACAGAGCTGTCAAACAAAGGATTTTCTTTTCAAGCCATTCCAAACATATTGTTTATAATGATGCACAAATTGGATTACATGAAGATTAGAAGAAATCCAAATTTCAAATATAAATGAAGATTTATAGCCCAGCATTTGATTATAGCAAAAAAGCTCACACTGACTATATGGGACTACAATTCAGTACTTGATCCAGATTACTTGTGAATTTTTTGGCATGCAGCATCTACAATAAAACCTTCAAAAAAGTTAAATGTTCAACTGGCAATTCTTTATACTGACTTGCAATGTCCTGCCTAATGACTGCAACTGGGACTATTGGAACTACTGTCATTAAGTGATATCGTCACATGATGTTTCATCCAACAACTGCATCACTTAGTGACAGAAATTTGAATCCAAATTGCTGTTCTAAGCCAAGAACTATCTGTATATGAATGTTCTTGAAAGCAATCCTTACTGTCTTCACTAGAATTTACTCAGTTCTAAATGTACATAGAATTGCAGTGCAGTAAGTAAAAACATAAAAAACACATAAACAGGTTTTATCAGGCTTTATAAATGATAAAGTGTGATGTGTGCATAATGGCAACTTCCTCAAGCCACTTTGTTCAAAAGAGTATGACTGTGGGATTGGCTTAGTGAGGATGATAGGACTAGCCATGAAAATAAGAAACAGCTCTGAAACTGTGCTGCGGTATGATTCCCTGCAGATTTTGTTTGATATATTTGGTAAATGGCCGAGGCAGTTTTGCAAGAATTGGCAGCTTAGAGCACCGTTCCACTTCAGAGATGTATGCGCAAATACAGACAGAACAGCTCAGAGGTGAACTCAACAACTTTTGTTTCTCAGTGCAAAAAGACGCTAAACGGAAAAGGGTTTCTGAAGGCAGAATGAGATTTCCAATTTGCATGGTATTGAAGTGTCTATTTAATAATAATAATATTATAATAATAGTAATAATAATAACAGTAATAATAATGCGGACAAAACCATCGATCACATACTGAGCTGTTGCAAGACAATCGCTCAGACTGACTACAAACAACATCACAACACAATCGCTCAGACAGTCCACTGGAAATTGTGTCTCAACTATCATCTGCCTGTAGCAAAGAACTGGTGGGATCATAAGCCTGAAAAAGTGGTTGAAAATGAGTGTGCAAAACTACTGTGGGATTTCCGAATACAGACTGACAAAGTTTTGGAACACAATACCCCGGATATTATGATTGTGGAGAAGAAAAAAGTGTGGATTGTCAACATTGCCTGGTGACAGCAGAATCGACGAGAAACAACTTGAAAAAAATCAACAGATATCAGGACTTGAAAATTGAACTGCAGAAACTCTGGCATAAACCAGTGCAGGTGGTTCCAGTGGTACTCGGCACACTGGGTGCTGTGCCTGAAGACCTAGGCAAGCACTTAAAAACTATAGGCACTGGCAAAATCACCATTGGTCAGCTGCAGAAGGCCACCTTACTGGGATCTGCTCGCATAATCCGCTGATACATCACACAGTCCTAAGCGCTTGGGAAGTGTTCGACTAATGATTTGTGATACAAAACCCAGCATAGTTATCTCATTTGCTGTGAATAACAATAATAACAATAACAACAACAATAATAATAATAAACAACTGTGTCCTGATCTGTGATGTTGCCTTGGTGACATTTATGGAAATTTGTATTTTTGGCATTGTGCTGACCTTGCTACTGTAGTCTTGCCCCAAACCAGAAAGAACATAATTCAATTCAATGTTATGCTTCTCAAGCAGAAAAAAAAATTGCAGAGACATGAGTTTAAGTTTACAGTTAAAGTCACAGGATTTCTCTTCCTCCTACAGCTTTCACGTTCTTCATTCAACCTCATCTGCCTAGACCTTACAATCCTACCTGGATTGGAATTTGTTACCTTAACCTGACCCTATCTAATACCTTTAATATTCCTCGCAACTCAATGGATATTATTCTACTTTTTTAGAGTACTATTCTACTCTACATCTACTTTTATTCAATTTAGTTCAACCTCCACTTTGTTTATACCGCTTCCTGGAAAAATCCCAGGTAGACATGGATACTACATGATATTAATAACATAGTAACAGAATGTGATAGTGTGGGACCACTTATTTCCTGAGGGTATCTGCCTGCTTCACTAGAATGGACAGGATGAATATGCTCTGATTTACTTCCACATAGTATTGTCATCTTGCAGACTTAGGAAGTCTGCTTTTTCAGGAGTCCACCTTATGAAAGACACTCTTTCCCCAACAATCTGGCAGCGCCCCCAAACTCTCAACTTTCAGAAGGCCATTAAAACCTGTCTCTACCCAGACCCTATGGAGAGTTGTTGGGACACCTGGAAGGTTGATGGAGGGGCAGGATTAATAGTCTTTTAATATGCTTTTATGGCTTTTAAATTTTTATTGTTGTGAGTTACCCAGAGTTATTTAGAGAGGGCAGTTATACAAAACTTCAAAACAGTATAATACAGTTTAATTTCACCACAGAATGGAAAATGTGAAAAATATGATTTAAAGCAATATTTCCAATAATGTCAGTATGCCCAAAGATACCACTCTTTGTGCCAGTCAATCTCTCTGTCCCACATGACATATTTTTTACACTTTCTTAGTAAAGTACTGCCCTCCAGAACTGTCTACCTTTCTCAAAATGCCCTTTGTCAGGTTCCCGATTAAACTTGGCAGAAGCTACCCAGACATCCACCAAGACATGATTAGATAAGAAGCTTGACTGCATACCAGAATGGAGCCACTTTTTGTGGCTAACTGCCATTTGTCCATGTAAGAGAGCAGCTCTTCTGATACCCCCTCCAGCCTAAATCCAGCATTTTTCCCTCACCTTTCTCACCCGTTCTCAGATACTGCTTTGTACTCTCTTCAGGGCTGCAACTGTAGATGGTTGTAGATAGTTAACATAATCTGCACTTTTGCTGTGGAAAACTCTAGCTAATAGTGTGACTCCCTTGCCCTGTCCCATTCTTAAAAAATGAGGAATGGCAGAAGCTCAGTGTCCACCTCTTCAGAAAGAAACTCAACCCAAATAAGCTTGGATAATAAATAGGGAGCACATTCCAAGAGCATCAAGCCCTGCATTGGCTGCAAACTCAGGGAACAAGAATCATTTGGATTTCTAGTTAATAATCTTTATTGCTAGTACGATAATGGTAAAAAACCTTGACAGCCTGTGAAAGTCATTTTCCTGCTCAGTTTATACCTAATGTGATTAACGCATAGTTATTCGGAGGCTTTCTTATGTGTATCTCATGTCCTCCCCGTCCCCAACTAAGAAATCATTCTGGAACTGCCCTGCTTCGTCTTTTAACAGTTCTGCTAGCTTCTCTACATTTCCAGGGTCTGTTAGATATTCTGTCACAATATCTATCTTGTAAATGCTATGGAAGGTTACATGCCAATAAATTGATGCTTTGTTATTGGTTATGTTTCATATAAGAACCATTTTGTGAAAAAGAAAGCTGCTAAGGAGAGGGCCCAGTACAGCCCCCCCACAACGCCTAGTTATTCATCCTTCATCCTCTCAGATATACCCTCATACCAGGGGGTGTCAAACTCAATTTCAATGAAGGCCATATCAGGGTTGTATTTGACCTCAGGGACCAGGTCAGCGTGGCTAGCGTCACTTGTGTTGTGGGCATCTGTGGTGGCTTGAGTGCTCTGCCAGCGAAAACAGGTTCCTGGGCTCCATTTTTGGCCACGATGGTTTCCTGCAGCCCTCTGCTAATGAACACAGAGCTCCATTTTCTCAAGCAGAGGGCTGCAGGAGTTCATTGCAGCCGAAAATAGAGCCTGGGAGTGCCATGTGAGGTCCCCTGAGGTCCGTTTTCGCTGGCAAAGGCACCGTGGGGCGGTCCTTTGCTGTTTCCAGGGTGGCCCCATGGGCTAAATCTAAGCACCCTGTGGGGTAGACCCCTGCCTCATACTAGTTCTTGGGTGATGATGGAGAATTAAACTTGTATGCTGCCCAACTTTCAACTATTAGTTCATTAAGGTTTATCCTATATATAACCTTAGTTATGTACCATTTGCCAAAGCAACGACGACCATGTGATAAAAAGTTTGGCTTGGATAAAAAGAGAGAAAAAATTTAAATCAGAAATTAAAACCTACACATACTTGTTGACAAACACCTACCCATTTCTTTGAGCTCCATGTTGAAAAGTTCTAACCAGCAAGCATCAATTTCATCCAGATCATAGCGACATACTCTCTGGGAATATGTTCTGGAAGCATCTGAATTTTCAGAGCTGGACAGGTTCGTTGGAAAGGTCTGTGATGAAGAATGTTCTAATAGAGGGATTATCCTGCAGAAGAAAACAAGCTTTGTTGTAAAAGACAGCTTAGAAATGAAATAAGCCTGTTAGAAACATGTAGGAAATATATTGACATTATCAATACACATACAAATTATAAATATGCATATTTGGCGAAAAGAAACACTAAGTAAAATAAGTGTTGAGTTCTATTATCTAATATTTATTTATTTATTTATTTGATTTATATTGCCACCTGTTCGCCCACAGCGACCAAGGCAGCTTACACAATGTAAAATCATATTTAAAACAAAAAATAAAAAACAAAAACAATAAGTACTAACAAAAAGAATCCAATAAATTAGTAAAGTACAATAGAACAAAATTTGGGAAAAAATATGCAAAGCAACTATTTCAGAGTGGAGAAATTTAGGCATATAATAAATCCTGGGCGAGATTCAAAATATATGCAAGAATATCAACTGAGGAAGATGATGAAAGGACCTTCTACAGATGTTTTCAAAGTTATCCTTCCTATAGTACAACCCTGATATACTAGAACGAAGAAAGTATTTAGCACATCACATTGTAAAAGGCAAATTACACTGAACATAAAAATGATGTTCATTACTGATTCTCTGCATCTCTGATAAACTATCAAGAAATACCACATAAAATTAAGAGTCTGCCTTAAAACTAGCGTCAGTGACTGTTTTGACAAGCAGGAAATGTTTTCTGAGACCAGAATTAAAGGTTATAATATCCTAAATACAACAGAGTTCAAGTACCTTAAGAAAAACTTTAAATGACCTTAGTTGTACAAATGAGAAGAAAGGTCATTTAAAGTTGCACTTATTTCACCTATGCCCCTATTTAAAAAATGGTCTCTGTTTAAGTGATTCAATTGGTAGATAATCTCAAATGAGACCTCACTTATTACAATAAACACAGGTATTGTGTGCAAATTAGATGACCTATGACTTTTTTTCCATACTCAGTACAAAACTTGCCTGATGCTCAGCAGCTATTATTCAAAGAACAGATAACAAAAAACAGTCCTTCATTCAATTGTAATTTAATTATACATCACTGTAACTTCATACAAAATAATTTTTTTACTGTATCAAAAAGTACAGCCAGCACTTAACCTGAAATAATTGCAAGATAACCTCAAATTATGGAGTAGCCTATAAGCTTCTAAATCAGAAAATCCTATTGGTGCCTCTACAATAGTTATATTGTTAAAAGTAATACAACTAATGAAATGTCATCTGATATTTGTAATTATACCCCAATAGCTTGCCTTTTTTAAAAAAGAAAAGGAAAGGAAAAGGAAAAGGAAAAGAAAGGAAAAGGAAAGGAAAGACGGTTTAATCCTAAGGCTAATTCAGCAGAATTCCATAGAGGCAGGTAACCTAATAGCATCTTAATAGCAATAGCACTTAGACCTATATACCACTTCACAGTTCTATACAGCCCTCTCTAAGCAGTGTGTCAACCCTGAAAGGAGCCTGGACTGAGGCCATCTTTAAGGCTTCAGGATTGCCACAAAAAAGAAGAAGGGACAGGGAGGGGGGAAATAGCTAGCCAGGTATTTGTAGTCAAAACAATAAGTTTTAGTTTATTTTATTGTCATTGCATCTTGTACAACGAAATTTTTCTGTGGGAACCAAGGACATTCTAACATGTGGCTGGGGAGGAGTGAAGTAACCAAGCAACAGGCCAGCACCTCGATTATGCAATATGTCTGAGGGCTTGGGGGAAGGGAGAACTTTTACTTTTTAATTAGGTGAAAACCGCGTGAACCTTTGGAGTCAGTTTTCACCAGTTGTGCCAATATAAAGTATCCAACAAATCGTTCCTTGAGGAATCTACCTGCCTCAGAGTTCTGCTTTCTTTGGGTGCATTACTTGGAACGCTGATACGGCGCTTTACAGAGTCAGCATATTGCCTCCAACAATCCTCATTTTACCACCTTGGAAAGATGGAAGGCTGAGCCAACTTTGAGCCTCTGAGAATTGAATTGCTGGCAGTCGGCAGAATTAGCCTGCAATACTACGTTCTAACACTGCGCCACCGCAGCTCTTTAAACCATGACTCTTTAAACTAGCTTGTGCGATTACTGATTTTGAAGCTACCTTAATATATAAATTATTTTGCAAACCTGGGTAACACCCAAGGATTATAAAGTCCTCTGGAACACTAGATTAGCCACTGGCATTAGGCAGCAAACAAACTGCTTTTAAATAGCATCTTTAAAATTTTGGCTGTACAAAAATTACTGCAAAGCTTAAAGTGTATGGTGATGTCACTGCATCACCTTCTTCCTTGTAGTCCTCAAATCTTATCCTTGCCAATGTCCTAAGGGCTAGAAGAGGGATAAGATACACAAAACAACTGTGCAGATATGAAAGCAAAATCCTCCCCGTCACTCAAAACAGAATAACTCAAAATCTAAATATCTGCTCCCACCCCACAACATGCAATCACACTTTTTTCCTCTGGGACATAAGGGACTTTCCATACATTTGAACAGGATGCTTGATGCCACAGCAGGGTTCTTCTATAAAACACCCAATTTTTATTGGCTTGAGTCATCATTTCTGAGTGGCTTCCCAAATCAGACTTGAAATAACATTTCCAAAACCCTTATTTTGCTTTGCTCTCTTTAAGAATGTCTTTACTGTATTAGTAAAGGAACCATCTAATCCAGCGGTCTTGTCAAGCAGTGATCAGACACAGATACTTCTGTGAAGTCAACAACAAACAACGCATGAGGGCATTGCTGTAACTCTGCCTCTGTTTTGTTTTCCCCCCAGGAGCTGGTACTCAAAGACAGCTTCATTTGTTCTCGTTTATGTTCCATAATGGGCTTACCCTTCACCAGTGTTAGCAATCTTTATATCTTGGTGTGATAAAGTGAGATAATAATTTCCTCCTTCTTCACATTGTGGCTTATTTTGTTTTTTAGCTCTCTATAATTCTCATACTCCTCTTACCTTGGTTTTCTTTTATCTGAACTAGCTTTCCTATTCCCTGTAACATTTATTTATTTGAAGGAGAAAAACTATCAAATCTAGTTTAAGTGCAAGGATCTTAGGCAATACATCTAATTTTTAACTGAGATATCTAGTCCTTCTACAATTCTTCTATCAAGTCTGTAATGATAGCTCTCTAGTTGGGGTGGAAGGGAAAGGATGCTGTAGCTCAACAGATTATTTGATCCCCACCCCACCCCCCAAATGATTCTACTCCTATAAGTTTACATTCAGTGGCACTAGAAAGATTACAATGGCGTAACAACAAATTGAGAAACTGCTAATACCATGTTCTCTGTCTCTTTACTTTCCAGATGCTTCCTTATGCCTTATCTCTGCCTTGATGCTTAAGGGCATGGATCACTACACTCAAGCCAGGTTGATTTTGCCAATTGGTTTCTACTTTTATTATAAAATCCTTGTGCCACCAGTTCAAATAATGTGTATATCATCACACCACAGGTGCTTTGAAGCTTAAAATACTTTCTGCTGACACCATTAGCAGCTAAAAGTCATCATCCTCTCAATTCTATCCCCATTAAATGTGATTCTTCTATTTCCTTTCAACCTTGCTAACATAATTTTCTGGTAGTACCTCCTTCCCTTTTGATGCAGAAGTCAAACAAATGTGACAAAAATCTGCCTACATCAATCTTCTCATAATATTAGACACTAGACACTTTCTTTTCCCTGGAGCTTATAAAGATATCACTCAGAAAATCTCATGTATAAACAAACCCCCACTTTGGAAGAGGAGGAAAAAAAGAACATTTTGGATGTGTGTGTGTGTGTGTGTGTGTGTGTGTGTGTATTATGAATGATAAATGAATACAAGCTGCTTTAGCCTTAGCTGAAATACAGAAGGCTAAATAACTGTAACTCTGAAAATAATTTGCATTGAAGGTTTCCAGAAGCAGATGATAAACCACAGAATGCTGCTTCCTCTACCTAAACTGTAAAAGTTCTTCAAAATAAAACAAAGCAAAGCAAAGCAAAACAAAACATAATATCCTGATGCATTTTCTTTTTAAAAGATATTTTCAAAGCCTTCTCCATTTCTGCAAAAGTTGGTAAAGCTCAATATTATTTTTCCAGGAAGTTACTGTTATATGCAGATTATTGCAAAATCCCCCCAGAGTTGTATCTGAAGTTATAAAATATTCAATCTAGTACACATTGCCCCAGAAGTAGTCAGATCTGGTTTGACACCTGGATTTTGAGCAAGATACATAAAAACTAGGAAAAACCCATGCGTATGTATAGTTTTCCAGCAGAATAGGATGACATTTCAAAATCACTGCCAGTGTTTTCAAACTAGGTGTTTTTTTAAAAAAATGTTTTACTTTCAGTACATAAAACATTTTTAGCACATCCACTGCCTACTTCATGAATTATGAGCACTTCATCACAACCTCAGTACCATGCCCTTGACTTAGCAGAAAAGTATGCCAATGTAATTTGTGCAGCCTCATGGCTGAACTTCACTATGCCTCAGTGAGGAAAGCAGGGTGGAGATCTGTCCTTATAGATTCAATGCAGGGTGGTTTCTGGGCAGTGTCTAATGGGTTTCCAAGCTTCCTTTCCCTTCCCACCCAGGAAGGGAAGGATAATTAATCAATCAATCAATCAATCGATCAATCAATCCAGCAGATAACTAATACCTCAATGTCCATTATTTATAGCGAATTTTTCTCTCTAATATCTTCCTCCTCTTCACCTCAGATCAGTTCAACCCAAAAGGAATTGAGTCATAGAATATGGATTTGTCAGCCAGCACCATATTTTAATGGGGAAGAAAGACAAGTGGCAAAGTAATTTTGAAAGTGGATACGGAATACTGAACATATATGTGTACTCCATACTGCAAGATTTGATGCAGAAAAGCCCTTCCCTCCCAATGCTAAATGGGAAGATAGGAAGCCAAAACTTGTTCTTACTAAAAAAAAAAAAAACCATCAACCTGCACCCTCTTTTCACAGCTATACAGAATATACCTTAAGTCAGAATCCATGC